GAAGTTTAAGACCAACCTTAGTTGACATACGACCACAACGTCACAGTATAAATAATCGTACGAAAAAGTAGCGTTATCCCCATAATGCTAAACGAAAAGAGATTGCAGTTGAATCGAAGAACATATTCTAAGTACCCACATATTTAACAGAAGGGAGTAATTGTATCAGTGACAAATTAGACTTGCCTCTCGATTCCTACAGCTTATCTTGCGTCATACGAACAGTATGCACGTCCTCAAAGAGGTTAAAATTCTTTCATTACCAGAACAGAAGAGACGACCTTGCCAAATAAAAAAATCATCCAGTTAAGCCTTTGAACGACTCAATAGATACGGCACGCAGTTTCTTGTGGAACAGACTGTAAGCAAGGGAAACTCCGCAGCCCCTCCGGGTGTCGCGGCACAGAAAAAAAAGACGAGGGGGAAGCCCCTAGGGTAGCGAGCTTCATCCCCCTCGTCAGTCTGGAGGTGCGCTGGTCGTACCACGCCTTTACTATACCGCGGTGTGCGCGCGACCGACGACCAATTGTAAATCGAGCGAGGAGCCACCCGGTGCTCGTTCCCATGACAAGTGCGATGGGTATTTGCTCCTCGTGAATCTTTAATTCCACCGTGGGAATCGAGGCTGCGTCAGAAAATCGAGACCATGACGAGCCGATTCGCGCACCTTGCTAACGCCGGCTGATTAGAGACAACGTCCACCGATCTGATCCTATCTACCCTTACTCTTAGGCCACTGGCCTCTGCTTCGGGGTATGGCCGATCTTAGAATCTATTATTAGCGACGTGGAGACCGGGGGAAAATTTCCGAGGGAATTTGGAGAAACAGGGACTCACGGAAATTTTTGATACTTCAGGGGACTTAGTTTGTACTTTAGGATGAGGGAAACTTACAATTTTCTGAAGTCTCAAATTTTCAAGTTTTCACATGATACATTCCTAAATTATCAAATTCCTAAAATTCTTTTACAAAAATTTTCAAACTTGTTCGAAGATAAATTTCGAAAATCCCAAATTTCTAAGTATGACAATGATTTTGAAAATCTCCAAATTACATAACTTATTATTGAAGAATGAATGAGTAGTGGATCCTCCTTGTCTAGCATCGCCATTTTCCCTCTGAAAGCATACCTAGCATACATCAAACCTCACCATTCAAATTCTGTAAAATAAACCTTTTGTACCGCAATTGACCGGCATTAAACGTACATACTATCGACCTTGATCCCTACCCTATAATGCGGAGAGATAAGTCAGAAAATGGGTGAAAAAAGAGAAACGCAGAATGGAGTGGAACGTTCGAAGGCAAGAGATCATTAGAATTCATCGTGTCAGCGTTGAATGAAAGCAGCGGAGTCGGTCTATCATTTGGCGGTCCCCCGTTCGAGAACAATTCGAAAACATATGCTCGGTTGCTTTTGGAGGACTCAATAGAATATAAGAAGGCGTCGCTTGCGGACGAGAGAAGGCGCATGCAAAGGCTTTGCTAGGCAAAGTCGTTCCAGACTACACACGGGTCTTTCTTGACTGGAGCAGATGCTGGAAATCAGGCTTCGCCCTTGTGCGTACCCTGTGACGATCGGCGACCCTCGAGAAAACGAGTGTATATATGCCGGCATCGGAAATAATGATACGACCAGAAGAAGAAAGCGGCTGTGGAGAGAAAAGAGAGGTTCGTTCCATCTTCGAAGGGGACTTCCTCAAGGGGCCCAGTCGCGAATCTCGTCGGAAGAACTGGAATCCCTTTCGAGAAATTTGTTACTTGACATTTCTCGGGCTTGTTCTATCCCCTCCAGAGACTGCGCTTCTTATATATTCGTTGCCTTACGCCATTGTCCGTCAAAGGCTTTAAAAGAAGCGCAGCTGCTTAAACGGTTATTTAATTGTCAACTATGAGAGGACACTACTCCGTTACGAATTTAAATGCCGCCGAGATCTGCCAGACATCTTTCGACGGATTCTACGGTCGAGAGACAAGAATCTTGAGAACGGTCATTGTTGGCTAGGCTTCCTATGAGTTTCTCTAAAATTAGAGCGAACCGCGGGAGCCTGCTAAGTTTACTATCAACCATCCACCCCGGTTGCAGCGAGCTGCGCTCGCGCTCTAGGAGGGTTTTTTTCCTTTACTCCTCTTCGCCACACGCGACGGTGGGTCAGATTCGGAAATTTATTTATGATTATTCTATAGAGATAGTACTTTGGTATTCATACTATATTAATTAGGTTTGAGACTTGTTCTATATCATCGTTTTATGATATAGAGCTGTTAGTCCACACATTGTAACATTAAACATTCTCTCATTAAAGAAATGGCAAAATGCAGGTGTTAAAATTGAATGACCAATTTTCGCGCTCAACGTTTCGCAAAATTTCGCTCGTAGCAACAGTATAGTCCTTAACAGCCCATTAAACCCGAGGGACTGCTTAGAAACCCAATCACGTGTTTCCTGTTCTATTCTACCTGCTCAAGTAGCATCTATGCATCGAAAAGAGAATAAAGAGGCGCCGGAGATCCGAGGGCAGATTTCCGTGAAATTCTCAGGACAGTTTGCGGACAAATGTCTGCTGTCGGTCGGAACACGTGCCGGGTCATCTTAACTCGTTCAGAAACGTGAATCGTCCGAACATTCCGTGTCTCAGAGTGAACCAACTTTCCTGGTGACACATCTATTTCTGTGATACACCCCCACTCGTTCGACCGACAGCGCTCACGGTGGTTTCTCCGTGAACCACGGAGTCACGTGCTTTTCGCGATTAAGATGCGGTTGCAGCTCGTGGCTTCCGCTAGATTTTTATACTAGCGAACGCTGATAAGTTATGGAAGTCTATAAATATTCCTAAGATTACAAATCTTTAAATTTCTCCAATTTCAAAATTTCGAATTTGTGAATTTAAAATTTGTACACTTGTCAAAATGTTTCCTGCAAATACAAAGACTTCAAGATTCGTATCTTTCTTCTTTTGCCACTATCCTCGATTCCTTCTTTTTTCGTTCATAGGCCCGAAATCTTGATTTACCAGATATTCTTCGATCTCGTTCTTTCTCACGAGTCCCGCTCCAGCATTCCACAGCCGAAATTAGCTAATTTTTTACCATTTCGAACATTTAAAAGTATTACGGAACCATGCTGCATACGCGGAGAGTAACCGTTCCAAGTCGAAACAACGAGGAACTTACTGAAAGGCGGTCAGGGTTGGCTATTAAGCCAATTCAGAAAATAGTTAATATGACGGCCAGTTAAAGGACAGAGACGCAAACTTGTCCGCCGGCAAACGAAATAAACGACCGGGGAATTCTCAACGGGTTCGATCTGGAACCGGGTTTAAATCTCCTTAGTCGAGAACGAGTCTGCCCCGGCTATAGACCTGCGCGAAAGAGAGCCGGGCCTATACGGGGCCCCCAGAGCTTCTCCCCCCGCCCCCTGCCCCCCGGCTCCGGGCGATAAACGAGACTCAAAGTGGGATATCTGCTAAGCAACAACACGAGGGATAGTCGGAGGTTCCTTCGAAGGTGCCTGCCTGCTTTTCTTTTCTGTCTGCTTGCCTGCCTGCGTGTTTTTCTCTTTTCCCCTCTCTTCCTCCATTCATCGGCCTCAACCTATTGGCTGACTTTTCGAAAATGCCGCGCTCGTAATCGTCAACTGAGACCGTCGAACTCTTATCGAAAATTTATTAAAGTATCCTTAGGTCTCTAATCTGGATTTTGGAATTTTTTGATGTTGAAGTTTTTGAGAACGTTGACTAGGGTGGGTTTAATTAGTACCATGGTGAATGTAAAATAAAGTAGCATTACCTCATGTACCTCATATGTATCATTTGCACTTTCTAAAAGCCCCAAAATCGCAGTGTATCAATTTCCAAATTCAGCATCCCAAATACCCAAATTTGTAAAACCCCAAATATTTAATAATTAAAACTAACTCTCTACATCCCCATAATAATAAAGAAACTACACGTTTTTAAAAAGCCTTCCAACTTTGAACGTAACAGGCCAGCCTCCATTAAGAATTCAATGAAATATATCCTAGTCTCCTGGTGTTGTAAAGGTTAAAAGTTAAGTCACATATGATTTTTTCTTTTCCAACGTCGTGACGTGTTTCGTACCGATTATAAAACGTAAACGCGTAGAAGAGAGTAGTTATATCCCGGTGTTGCAATCTACCCCGAGATAAGGCCGCATCCTTTGATATCGACGCTGAAACGTAGCTTCCGGTGCTCGCGACGAGATGTGTTTCGAATGCTTGTTATATGTTCTGCACTCCCGACGAGGGTGGCTTTGCAAGTTTGTTTTGATAAAACTGCATGGACCTCGTTACGATATCAGTTTGCTTAAGATAAATCTGAGGAATCAACGAGCACTTGAATCGCCGATAACCTTGCATCGGGATCTAGAAACCTATTAAATCGGAGACATAACATTGTCAATGGTTTACTGTTTACTCTAGATCTTCGATTACCGAATAACATCGATTCAGATGAAACTTTATGGATGCTTAGAGCGATATGACACAATAGTTCTTTCATGGTAAAAAAATAATCACATCCATATATTTTCTAACTGCAGATGCAGATTTTTTGTGGAACTCTTGTCTGATAGGTGCAAAACTTTTTTAAATTCACCTCGCAAGATTTTTTTTATATTTGCAAGATTTTTTAAAACGATCAAATGAATTTTGGATCATACTTCAAAGATGAAAGTGTTAAAAACGAGGTTAATATTAAAATAAAAAAAGAATTTAATAATAAGAATTGAGAAGTATGAGTATCAGTTAATGAGACAAACAAAATGTTATTTAAAAAAATATAAAAATGTCGTGTGTTTGGGGAGGGGGTAGGGCCATTCGGGCCCAGCTGTGCCAATACAGTCCCCCAAGAAGCAAATGACTTCACCGAAACGTATAACTATTGCACGTGTTTGTAGCGATCAGAAAAGAAAAATTGCACTATCAGATGAGAAGGAACATAAAGAATGTAAATGGATGTACACATGGGTTACTTACGCCTCGGTGGGTGGTGGAGAATAAAAGGACGAGTGGTAGGTAGTAATATCCACGACCTTCGCTGGCATCAGCAGTCCACTCGACACTACATCCATTCTCACGGTTAGCCTTCCAGGAAAACTCGCGGTCAGGGGTTCCCGAATAGTTTTCGACGGATCAGGTCCCGAAAACTCAAAACTCCACCGATACTACACTCTCTTTCTTCCTTTCTCTTAAGTCATAACGCCGCGAATGATTAAAACTCCACCACGTACAATCGAGCTTCGATATTTACACCGGTAAACTTATTCTACACGTGCATGTCATCGACGACGCGTCGCCGAATGTAAAAAATATTGGCGGGCTATTCTCGAGGAACTCGAAAACATAAGAACCTCGTGTACCTCTGTCGGTCTCTCTCTGTCGCGGTTTGTTGTGTTCCACCACCGCGTTGCAAAACTTTGTCGCGCGTTAAAGAAGAGGAGGGGAGTTTGGGCGCACGCGTCGCGACACTGCAAAGGACGTTCGCTTGAAAAATGAACGCGAGAAAGCGATGTTGTCGTCAAGTGGAGGGAAAAAGGGCACGGGAAACTTTATGGATGCTTAGAGCGATATGACACAATAGTTCTTTCATGGTAAAAAAATAATCACATCCATATATTTTCTAACTGCAGATGCAGATTTTTTGTGGAACTCTTGTCTGATAGGTGCAAAACTTTTTTAAATTCACCTCGCAAGATTTTTTTTATATTTGCAAGATTTTTTAAAACGATCAAATGAATTTTGGATCATACTTCAAAGATGAAAGTGTTAAAAACGAGGTTAATATTAAAATAAAAAAAGAATTTAATAATAAGAATTGAGAAGTATGAGTATCAGTTAATGAGACAAACAAAATGTTATTTAAAAAAATATAAAAATGTCGTGTGTTTGGGGAGGGGGTAGGGCCATTCGGGCCCAGCTGTGCCAATACAGTCCCCCAAGAAGCAAATGACTTCACCGAAACGTATAACTATTGCACGTGTTTGTAGCGATCAGAAAAGAAAAATTGCACTATCAGATGAGAAGGAACATAAAGAATGTAAATGGATGTACACATGGGTTACTTACGCCTCGGTGGGTGGTGGAGAATAAAAGGACGAGTGGTAGGTAGTAATATCCACGACCTTCGCTGGCATCAGCAGTCCACTCGACACTACATCCATTCTCACGGTTAGCCTTCCAGGAAAACTCGCGGTCAGGGGTTCCCGAATAGTTTTCGACGGATCAGGTCCCGAAAACTCAAAACTCCACCGATACTACACTCTCTTTCTTCCTTTCTCTTAAGTCATAACGCCGCGAATGATTAAAACTCCACCACGTACAATCGAGCTTCGATATTTACACCGGTAAACTTATTCTACACGTGCATGTCATCGACGACGCGTCGCCGAATGTAAAAAATATTGGCGGGCTATTCTCGAGGAACTCGAAAACATAAGAACCTCGTGTACCTCTGTCGGTCTCTCTCTGTCGCGGTTTGTTGTGTTCCACCACCGCGTTGCAAAACTTTGTCGCGCGTTAAAGAAGAGGAGGGGAGTTTGGGCGCACGCGTCGCGACACTGCAAAGGACGTTCGCTTGAAAAATGAACGCGAGAAAGCGATGTTGTCGTCAAGTGGAGGGAAAAAGGGCACGGATCGTGGCAAAACGGGAAACGACGGTCGTTACGAGCCGCGGGCGAACACGTGCGTTCCTTCTGATCGGTCCTCGTCGTTGGCCATAACGCGAGAGAGCGTAATCGAGCTGCTTTGTCGCGACGCGCGCCCAAAATCGAGCTGAGCCGCGCCGATGTCTCGACCGTTCGGTGTTTGGATTTGAACTGAAGGTTTATACCGGCTGGCTGCTTGTTTGCCAGCCTGCGCGGACGGGTCCCTAACGTGCTCTCGTGCTGTGCTGGGCTCTGTTGGCAACGTGGAGGGGAAAGGTAGGGTCGCTCGAGGAGGGTAGGGAAGGACAGCAGAACCATGGGACGGAGAGATGGTACGGAGGGACGATCAAACGACCGTCCCTATACGTACGCTTTCGGCTTTCGACTGTGTGCGTTAGGGCAGAGATTCCCAAAGTGTGGGTCCGAGATGCTGGATTATAATCAATGTTAACATATCCCTCTCAGAAGGTTCCCTCTCAGTCTTTGGGGTGCAATTTTGCAACTTACGGTACAATTTTACGATCTGAAACCTTTTTGATCTTGGAATCAACTTTGAGGTTCTGGACCTTTGACTTAACTGTGTAGCAACCGTGTGATTCGGACCTTCCTCGAGAATCCTCCCCAACACCCCAACCTCTCCAGAACAGTAAAAATTTGATCGTCTCAAAATTTCAAAAAGTTGCTCACGCCCGATAAAGAAAATTGATGCTATTGGTAAAGCTAAAGTACCGGGTCCACCCAGACAGAATAATTGTACCAATTTGTGGACCGCTGGAATTTAACTTCGGGTCCAAGATTTGAGATTACGGAAAATAAGCGAGGGCCTCGATAATCCACTGTCGGATCGCGTTAAATACTAAAATTTCAGGAATTTTAAAGGTACCGAAGCGTCTTTTTATTCGTCCTTTTAAAATGTACGTGTATTACAAGCGAATGGATCGCGAAAATTGACCGTTCTCGAAACTGGGTCTCGGGCAATAAAAGTTTGGGAAGCCCTGCGTTAGTGGCTACATGCGTCCTCGACCGCCCATAGTCATTCAGCCTGGGTAAAAAACAGTTGAACGGTGATGCTGCGACGAAAGCTCTTTCATTAACCCTTCTTTCCCGAGGATTAATAGAGTTCTGAATCAGTTTAGACGGAACGGGAATTTCGATAATTATTAAAGCATGTGCTCTACTTTTTGTGGGGGTAGCGAAATATGAGAGAATGTTTTGATACTCCCCTCTGTACAAGTTCATGTTACTTTTTTATTCCTTCGTTTTCGGTAAATTTAATCAATAATTAAAACAAGTTTCATAGGAGGAAAACTGTCTAAATGGTAGGCGTTAAAAAGGACAATCATTTCGGAAAAAACTTCAGGTCAGAATCGGAGACCCGTGTTTTGCTTGCTTCGACCATTTTCGTGGCATGGAGGACCACCATGACATATTTTACTTACGTAATGGAGTATCATTTGCTTATGCCAGGTATTCAGAAAAAATACCTTCTTATCTATGCAACTGCAGGGTGAAAAACGTGTTGAAATATAAAAGTAAGAGGACATCTTTAAATTACGTAACGGTAACTTTAACAATACACCCCCTTCCGCTATAAGAATTCCACAAATTTTGTACTCAAACTCCTTTCCAGAATTTTACATTTCAGGTTGTATCTTACAGTGATACAATATGTGAAAACACAGCACGTGGAGATGTAGGAACAGCGATGTAACTTGTGATAATATAATTAATGGCGAGACAAGGTATTATATTAGCAACGCGTTGAGATGCAACACGTGACGAATCCCAAAATGCATAATTCGGTGACATTTATTTAAATTCCAGTCGGGTCCAGCATTTCGGTGTGAATTGACCTTAAGGTATGTTCGGTGCGACCGTAGAGAAAGAGAAAGAGGAAGAGAGGTGCAGCAAGAAAAATAAATGAACAAGAGGAGAAGCATGTACGGTGAGGAATCGAGGAGGTGGTCGGGGACACGGAAGAGAAAAGAAGACATGAGAAAGACGAGGAAACAAGAGGAAGGGGTCCGAAATATAAGTCTGTGCAAGGCCTCGCGGTTTCGCCGTTGTGTTCTGAGAACCGATCGCCTCTTGAAACGCGAAAGAACAACAAAAGCTGGGGGTCCACGTGAAATCGACATCGATCTTCCTGCGCTCCGGATTTAAATGCAATAAAGGCAATTGGGATGGATTCCCTTTTCTCGAATAACACTATTAGGTAATCGGTAACGTTGTTAATTAAATCCAATCAATGCACTTTCATAGACCAGAAAATGGTGTTACCTAAGTAGTTACTTAAGCCCTTATCTTATAATAACAGTGCCTCGCGCTTGTGGCGCAACTCACGAGGGGACCCGGGTATCGCTTCTGAAACAACTAAGTGCAACTAGTGTTGGAAACCCTAATAGCTTTCACACTCCATTTTCCGGACATCTTTGTGACGGTACACAAAAGAATTAAAGTAATGCAAAACGTATTGCTCGGAATAGGTTCCAGTAAACGACTTTCCGTATTTGTGAGGTTAACAATTTCTGTGGGTCATACACCTTTTTGAAGTTGGAACCGAACGTGACTCTGTCTCCCCTTACCCTTTTGTCAGGTCGGTAACTTCAATAACATATTATTCTTACTTCGATCGTTCTGGTAACGGTGTATTGTGATGCAGTAAATGAAAAGGAGTTAACGGCGAGTTTAATATCAACGTCTAGTTCATTTACCAGTTTGCCAGCCTTTGTCAGCTATTCAGCATGACCGGATACGCCGTAGACGTAAACACTAAATACATAGAATATTGAAATGAATGCAATGCCCGTGGAACAGGTCACGGAATTCTTTGGGCCTGGTCCTGAGACCCGGCCGCAGAATAAAGATTTACCCCGAAAAAAAATTACCATTCAGCCGAGTAGCTTGGGAAGCGCGAAAAATTATGCCTGGATCCTTCTCCTTTTTTTTCTTGTCTTCTCGTTCCTTCGTCGTCTGAATCGGCGATATTGTCGGGCACAGATTACAGTCTCCCTGGCCCGTCTTGCTCGCGTCGCACCAGATGGCGTAATATCCTTTGACTTCCGATCATAATAACCAACGCGATTCAAGAAGAGTCGATTCTTCTCTGTACAGGAAACCGTAGTTCGCGTGATGCCCTCAATGGTATCCAATTCTTTCCTCCTCGTTTTTTCACGCCGTAAGACGCGCACGAATTACCGTGCACGGGATGCAAAAGATTTACACCGCAAAATAATACGTTAAATCTTTCGTGGCGAGTCGACGAAGCGAGAAACCAAAATATGGGATAAAAGCGTAAAAAGAACCCATCGTGCAGGCAAAGGGTACCAACTTTGAGTCGCCGATTTCAATGAAATTTCACATACTCCTGCGTTTATGTAATTATTCGAGACTTTGAGGATTTGGAAATTGGAGAACTCTCCATATTACACCTATGCACGAGAAGAGAGAGCAGATGAAAGTCAGGTAGTATCGAGAATGACCTTCTTTGTGGCGCACCGCTTAGACATGTCACGAAAATAAATGATAAGCTGTCGTCAAATAATATCACGAGGTAGGCGCAACAGTAAGATAGATTAGACCGTCTATGCAGCATGAAATTCTTCAAACGGAACCTGCCACGAAAAGAGATGATGCCGTGTAGGTACGTCGCCGGCTCAAGGCAGAACGATGAGTCTCAGAATGGATGCAGGTCGTTTCTTGATGCAGACAGGTTTTTCCCTTTGAAGTGCACGGGGAATCCGCCTTCCGGGTTCTCATTCGTTCCATTCTCACGTGCAGAGAATTGTTTATTGTAAACGCGACCGAAAGAGGCTGAGAACCATCGAGAGTGGCGCTGTTGGTATTCGTACTGCCGAGAACGGTATGCTTCCCTAGGTAAAATTACCGCGTTGGAAGTAGGCGCCACCAATTATGAATTTCTGCTGGTTGCGTTTTCAAGTTTATAAACTATGAAATTCAGAAATTTGGGAATTTGAGAATTCAGGAATTTGGAGACCAAATTTTGGGATTTAAGAATGTGGATTTAGGGATTCGGGAATTTAGAACTAATTCGAAAATATAAAAATTAAAGAAGCCTCGATTGCCCAAGGTTGTAAAAAGCCCGTGGCAGCCTGTAATTTCACAAAACACAGAGTTACCGACTGCATCGGAGTACTCGTTGGCTGCACTTTAAACCGGATTCGTGTCCGTGGGTCGGTAACTGGTCAAAAAGCAGCATAAATTACTATGCTCTTCCTGCATCGAATCTTTCCCAGAGGTTTTCGAACTTCACCGACCTTCACGGCATAATAAAACGATCGAAGATTACAAGGCTCTTCGAAGAAGTTAGGGTTAAATACCACGAGATAATATCGGTTTCGAAGATTCTGTTTATTATGTTGCACGTTGTACTAACGAGTTAGTAATTAAGTTGACTGTTTGCGCGACTCTCCCCCGGAGGAAGGCGTCGTTTAAACTTTCGCTGCTGGCGTGCACGAGTACCCGCGTGTTAATTATCGAATTAAGAAACACATGTCCACGGTAATGAACTGTTGCTACTTCGACAAAGTAGCGACATCGAACGACGGATAAACGGGTAACAAGCTAATGGTATAACTCCATAAATATTGACGTTATCGTAAGCTGCCCCGTAGCACAAAAAAAAGTATAGTTCGAACAAGGATTACGTATATACTGTATCGTTCAAAATAGTGTTATCTTCCGGAGATTTAAACGCGGTCGAGATCCGTTAAGTTTGCTGAAAAAATACCAGATAACGGTGAAATGTTTGAATGAGATCGAGACTCTGTATGGGATTTATTGCCGGATGATACGTGTTGTTACGTCGGGTCTAATTGTGGCCAGCGCCATTTTCCTCTTCCTCCCACGACTGCCTATCTAATCTCGAATACCTCCGAAAGGGCCGGAGATCCGAATTGGGCCGCTGAGCAAAGCTCAATGTCAGTTTGCTCAAATACAACGCGACAATGTAACCTAACCACGGGCATCTGTGCGAATCGGTCGCTGGCAGACATTTTTATCAGACCCGTGGCAAGATTAAAGAGCATCCTGTCGCTGGCGGGCTAACACGCATCCAGAATGGCGATTCGCAACGACGATGTCGCGATGATTCGCGCACGCTGGTGTGAGAAGACAAATAGAAGACAGCTGCCACGTTCATAGAAACGAAACGAGACGAACGAACTTATGAACCCTCCTCGTCTCTTTCACCCGGCAATGATGCGTGCCGTTCAATGGCGTACCCTTGAGTGTGGGCCCAACGAGACATCCATGGAAACAGGGAAGGGATACGCACGCACACTCATGCCTTTCTAACACGCATGCTCGTATACATAGTAGCCAAACGAGAGAGGAAAAGACGAAGATGAACGAGGAAAGGGACGTGCGGTAGAAAAAAATGTAGGAAAGAATGCTGGAACCAAGGCTGAAGGAATGAGACGTGCAAAGAAAGTCTTAGAAGAGAGGAAGGAAAGGTAATTATGCGGGATACAGTAACCATTCTCCAACTGGGGAAATTAGCGACGGAAAAGCTCTCATGTGGGCTTTGATCGACCATTGTGAATCATCGAATTCGGAACTTTGGAATCTGAGAATTTGAAGTTTTAGGAATTCAGAAATTTGAGAATCTACAAACTTGAGATTTTTAAAATTTGGTGAATTCGAGTGATTGGTAATTTGGAAATGATTTTGCAAATTAAAAAATTTGAAATTCCTGAAAAAAACATTAGGCGTACAGAAGATATCGTGGTTCATATTTTGCCAAGCGTGCAGAGCCCGTGGCTGAGGCCGCTGCTAACTCATCTCTCATCCCGGCTTCCAGAGCATGTAATGCTTCTACTTATCAATATTAACTTGCCTGTTGGGAGATAGAATGACGTCAACCCATGAACCCCGGTGTCCCGCATGGCAACTGGCAAGACGCGTTCAGTAAGGACGCAAGGACAAACAGACGCCGCGCATAGCGTTCGAGAACACACCGCACCATACCACGCAGCGCCACACACGTTTTCTCTGCTCGTGCTGCATTTCTTGCTCCACCCTGTCGTTTTCTTCGTTCCACTTCGTCCTCTCTCCTTCCCTCCACCTTCCCCTCGGTCTGCTTGTTCTTTTCTTTACACCTTTTGTAAACTCTTCCTCTTTTTTCGAACGCGTTTTCTTTCAGTCTCACTTCCGCCCGTTCGTTTGACATTATCTTTTTGTTTCTTTTCGCGGTTCGCGTCATTTTTGCAGGGTTAACTTCGCTGTTACGCCTGATCTCCTTTCGGATCTTTCATTTTTATATTCCACCAGTCATTTTTAATAATTATTCCATCAAATAGCTCTGAGGTCTATTAGTTTCTCTACAATCTGCATTCTGAGATAGATTTTGAAGTATAGATGTATTATCTATGGTCTACGAATAGTCTAATGCATGGCAACGCGTGACCAAACATTATAGAAATCCAGGAAGAACCATGGCTAGGCAAATGAGTGTGGTAAAGGGAGATATGGGGTTCATGCAGATCCTCGAACGCTTTGAAAAGTAAATGATTCAGGGGTGGATTTGTACCATCTGGACTGTTAATTTCGAGGGTTGTGGCTAGACCACGAGCAGGGAATAAACCATTCCATCATTCTCTTTCGTAAAATTCGATTTTTACCATCATTATTTAATATCTTATCTAATAATAGTAATACGCATTGAAAAAGGGAAAAATCTATAATTACAATTGTATAAGTACCTTGTGTGCCGCTGGAAAAGGTATTCAGGTCTTCGACGCTAAAGGGTTTAAAGACGTGAATGTTTGAACAAACTTGAAGTCCCATTCGAGGCCGACTTTCCGGGAACAACTTGTCGGAGAAGGAATTTATCGGTAGGTATTACGGTTCTTCTTGGCCGCTTTGCTTTTGCTGTAAAGCAAATATAGGGAAATGGAGACAGAGCTGATGATACGTCGGAAGGGAAGATCCAGTTTGCGAGAACACGTTTTGTGGTTAATCAAAGCTTTCCAGGGGCGCCTTAAAACCTTAACATAGGTTTCCCTCTCCCTTTCTAGTTTCCCTCTAATAATTAGTCGTAAATCAAATCAAAGCAATTAACCTTAATCTCCCGTTTAATGAATTTAGTTTGACAAATTTCATAAGATTCAGATTATTTGCACTGCTTAATTAAGCACGTTTGAAGAAGCAATATGGCTGCCGTGTACCCTCATCTTAACACTCAAGTGCATATTTCGTTAAGCTTTTCTCATATGATGCATGGCGCCAACATGGTCACGTTACGCACGATTGTTTCTCTCGAATATTTTCTTTCGAAAAGAGAAAGCTGACCCTTTTAAGAAGAGTTTACCACGCGTTACCTTATACCTTTCTAGGTTACCGGATCCGCGAATGAGAAAGACGATATCGGTGCAAAAACTTCGACAACGTAGATAGTGGCTAACCTCGAAGTTGTCGATCACGAGATACGAAGTTTTTTGTCCATTTTAAGATCGAGATATATCGTCGAAATCTGAAGATGGGTTTTATAAAAAGAGCCGAGTACAAAATATTCTTGTAAAAGAGACCGACCAGATTTTTACTTTTTTACGTCGTTATTTAACCCGTAAGCGATATAGTGATCATTCTGTTAAGTGCAAAGTATGGTAGCTAACCCCATAAAAATTTTTAGAAAAAGATGAGTTATTGCTTTGTTCAAAATAAGATGAAAATAAATATTTTATTTGATATAACCTAGTATTTATTAATAAAAGAAGAACGTATTGCAAAACAGAGGAATGTGCCTACTCTTTGTATTTCGACGTATCTTATGACCTAGGGTGAGAACCGTGAGTACATGACGCTTTCTTCGTGGTGTCGTGTAATACGAAGAAGGTATAATAATGAGGAAGAGGGATGGAGAAAAGCGGAAGCTGAAAAGAGAGCAGTGTAACTAACTGTGACTAAAAAAGATGAAAGAAGACAAGGAAGGAAAAACATGGGGACCGGTGCATGTTCTCTACGCATGCCACGTGTTTTACCACCTGCCTTGGCTAGACCCTCGATAATGTAAAAAATATACGTACGAATCATTTAAATACTCTGTTACCGCGAGAATATTTCCGAAAAACGATAAAATTCGTGAGTCCATTACAACCAAAATAATTTCATATTAGACATTAACCCTTCAGACATCGATACATCACTGACATAGAATAACATTTCAGCCTGAAAATTTTAGATTTCTTTATTTCTAAATTTTCAAATTTGCAAATTACCAAGTATAATTGCCAAATTGCCCTATTCCCAAATTTGTAAATATGTCAGACTTCTTTACTGCACGTCCTGTGCTTCGATGCCCACGTTCTTTGGCGAACACTTTAGTCTACCCATCGTTATTTTAATCAATGCGATAAAGATCCGAGTAAGTCCGTAATTGCGCGTGTTTATTAAATGACAAGGGGACAAGTTGAAAAGAGAAGTAAACGAAGACACGAACGTTTACGAGAAAGAGATAGAGACTCACCTCTTTCTGGCAAACCACATATCGATCAGTACTGCATCGTTCGTCGATGATCAGCCGTTTCAGAAAACACGATAAAAATCACGATTCGTTATAATAAAATTCTGTCGGTCTTCGGACTTGACAATATGGCCGAACTCACCCTCGATCGAATAACAAATATTCGCAACCTCTAAGGGAGAGGACGTATCGAAGACTACGGTGTCAAAGTGCGGACACTTTTCGTCAGCTGTGTGCTAACAGAGTACACGACCTTTCGGCTGTCGACTATACACGCTTGATATGTCGTGTTTGTTTATACACAAACATGATGACAGGACACTTGGATCTCACATTGGCAAAATTATGGTTACTCGGTGTTTGCATCACGTAGGGTAATTCTTCGCATGAAAAATAGAGAGGAATGGGATTCTTTGTGACATCTACCGGGATGATGATCAACTACGTAGTGTATCTCAACTGATTCTAGTAGAATCTCTTTTTATATTGCAAATTTTACTCGGACTTTCATGAGACACACTAGCAACGCTTCTAGAGTACATGTTAGTATGTGTGATCAAGTGTTATCTCGTTACACATGTCAGAAATGGACAACTGCGCATATGAAGCGCGAATCTGAAATTTTCAAATTACAAAATTTATGACTGCACACATTTGTCAAAAATTCCATAATTATTGTCTTATATGTAAAATACAATATAACTGAATAATTTATTTCATCGTGGATTTAAATTGATTGGAATCATTTATAAAACTTCGATGGAGGTTAATTCTCCAGTTCCCGCCTAAATTTTATTGGAGCAAACACAATATTATAGTTCATTGTTACTGCTAATAAATCTTGCCGTACTATTCAGAATGAAATTTAAATGCAGAATGGTAGACGTAATCGCGATGAGAGACTTTACGAGTAAGTTTATGATACAAAACTCGTTTCTAACCTCTTCTAACCTCAGAAATATTACTATCATGCATCACATGCTTACATTTTCTATTTAAAGAAAATAGCGCGTAAAGTCTAATTTGTTTCAGATATCGTTAATATCATTTCTCGAATAACGAAACAATGTACGCTGCGGTTGACACCGAACGACTTGTGTTTTAGCGTCAATGACGATCGAGTATCGATGATCTGGGCAGAATTATCTCAAACCCATTTTTTTACCGAATACATAATGAATGGCGTAACCGAAGAACAAAATGAAATTTATTTAGAATTTGATCCTTCGATGCTTGCTAGATCGTTGGGTTCTTTACGAATGACAGCAAAAAGCGTAAAAATTAAATTAACGAATAAGCGTCAACCTTGTCTCACTCTCGAAATCGAACTACCTTCACTGAGCATTGAATCTAGACAATGTTTACACGATGTCCCTGTAAGAGTTATACCGCGAAGGGAATGGGTAGAACATCACACACCAAATATACCAGAATTTCATGTAAGAACAGTGTTTTACTCTGCAATCAATATTTTGGTTACATATTTGTTCTTTGTAGATATCAGTTGACATGCCTCAGCTGAAACACGTAAAACATATTGTAGAGAGAATGAAGAACATGAGTCCAACAATGACATTAAGTGCTGACAAGTCTGGTGGATTCACATTGCAAGTTGAAACAGACAGTGCATCTATTTCCACGCACTTTCAGAATATGCAGGTGTGGAGCTGCAGTCAAGAACAGGATGATGACAAAGTATCGGTCGTCATTGATATTAGAAAGTTCTTTATGTTTTTGGGATGGGACATTGTACATCCTGATGGTGTTAAGTGTAACATGCTTCAAGATAGGATGATAAACTTGTTTCTTCATGTAGCGGATTATCTTAAAATACATTATTTTATTCCTGCGGTAGCTACTTGAATCATCGCGTTAATTATAAGCGTTTGTAATGTAGTCTTTTACATGATCTTGTGGCCTAACTTTTTTTTAGCGTATACAAACAGATGATAAAAAATTGGCGGATTTCGAATCGATAAAGTTCGGTAATTGGAATTAATTATATGCTAAGTTAAAGGTTCGTTCATTCTCTTGTCTGAAGTTCTGATGCATCTGATCGATTTGCTGTATTTTTTGATTAAGCAATACCGTTTGCTGATCTATCCACTGTAAACTGTTCATATGCGCATTTAATATTTTGCCAATCTGGACGATTGGATCGCTAGAATCTTGAGTGCGGTTAGCTTGATTCAAATGTTCGATAATCTCTTTTAAATCTTCCGACATTCGTTTTAGTTGTGTGTCGAGATCCTCCGCTAAACGGTACGTATACTCTCTTTCAGGATCAGACACCGAAAGAGATGCTAATTCTTTCTCTAGTGGCACCAAACAGTCCTGCAATTCCTTTTGTTGTCCAACCTGTATTTGTAATATTTATAAGAATAAATAATTTATATTGAGCTTGGTACAACATTAATGCGTAGAACTTACAACATAATCCAATTCCTGTTCCAGCTGTTGTTGCTGAATTTTTACTATTTCAACTTCCTGATTAAGGGCTACTATTTTTTCTCCGTTACTTATTAGCAATTTATCCCAAGCATTAACTTTAGCAGCCTGATCTACAAATACTTTCTCTTGTTCCTCTAATTCCAAAGTCCATTTATTGATAGATTCTTCAAATGAGCTTATGGAAGCTGGTTGGAATGTGCTCGCGGACGAAGTAACACTATAATTCATTCATTAATATCTCTATGCTACATAGTAATATCATATAAAACTAGATGAAAAGATGCTTACGTGGTAGCTGTGCCTAATGATGCTTGGGTACTAGGAGTTGTAAGACTGGGTGCAGCAGAAGTTTTATTTAAGGAAAACCCTGTTGTAGTAGTTGCTGCAGTACTTGTTCCAAATGTAAATGGTGTGGCTGCAGAAGTTGTTGCACTTGTATTTAAAGAAAAACCTGTAAAAACATTAAATTGATTAGATACATACTTCACATGTATAATAGTTCACCAATTAATACCTATTGCTGGAGTTGTTGTTAATGTTGATGCTGTTGTAGCAGCAGTTGCAGTAGGCAGAGTAAATGTAGTTCCTACTGTCATTGTATTTGGTATACCAAATGTTAATCCAGTAGTGGTACCAGATGAAACAGCTTCACCAGCTCCAACACCAAATGCACTAGTAATTGGTTTAGCTGCAAATGCTGATGTGGTTGTTGCTGTTGTTGTTATAGCAGTAGTTGTTCCTGCTTGGTTAAAACCTAAAGTATTTCCAGCCGGAGTTGGTGCAGGAAATCCTGTAGGTATTGCTGCATTGACTGCACTAGGTGTTGCACCTGTAGTTGCAAGCGTTGATGAACCATATCTTATACCAAAAGCTTGAGAAGGTGCAGTATTGCCAGGTGTAGCAATGGGTGTACCTAAAGTGAATGCAGTACTTTGAGCAGGAGTACTAGCGAATCCACCAAATAGACCTCCAGGTTTATTTTGACCAGGTGTTAATGAAAATGGGGCTGGCTTTGCAGCATCTCCAGCACCACTTGCTACAAAACAATATATTTGTGATAGATTGTCAATTTTTAGTATTACTCATTAACATAAAATAGGTTATTTTACTTTGGACTGGAGTTCCAGTGGCAGTAGTATTGGCATCAGACTTTGAGGTGTTCAATTGAAAACTCATTTTTTTGTATTACTTAACCTATAGAAGAACATGTATTAACAACTTTTTAATATATTCGAGTACTTTATGTTTTACTTATGATAAGCCTTAGTTTTACTATGAACATTTGTATCTAACCTTATTCGCTTTGAAAGTAGACTGACAGACAAAAACAGATTTCAATAAAAGAATAACTTAATAACCACTTATTATCGATGTATTTAGTATATACGGTTAATTTACTTATAAACTCTTGACATTAAACTTCACAGTCTTAATTACGAAATAAAGTTTCCTGTATTTTAACAACAACAAGTAACAACAAATGTCATTCAAGTAGGACGTAGCGCACTCTACAAAATTAGTTCATCATAGATGGCATCAGTGAGCAGGCATTTGCTGCAATGATGGATTTCTTTCGAAATTAGAATCAAAATTATTAATAAATAAACATTATAATTGAAACCAAAGAACCTATTAACATTAAAGTTTATAATTACATCAGTATTATATTAAAAAATTGTCTAATAACATATAATACATGGTATAATAAGTTCAACTCAAGTAAATAGAAGGTTATGAAGGCATTTTATTATGACCGAATATTCATAGTGGACAGAAATGTGAGATGAATAATTGTGTATTTTCATATCAGTATAAACATCCTCTAGACTTTATTCTAGATAATCTTAACATATTATAAGGATATCGTGTCTATTTATATACATTAATACATACTTTTGTACGAATAGTTTAATCGAGTTTAATTCTTTTAACTACAAAGTGATCATAATATGTGCTCGAAACGTCTTTACTAACGGCGCACTACTTGATCTCGGACCGAAAGATTTTCTTGAAGTGACTTTTAAAAAGACCGCTAATACTTTTCTTACTACTGAGTCATCTGGTGGTGTGTTAAATATTAAAACATAATTGTCACAGACGAAAACGGTCTCTAGGACCATCTATTCATCCCACATCGTGACTTAAATAGAGTGCACGCACACTTATCTAGAATGTGAGCACGCGTTTCCAGAATTTTTAGCCGGCGCACGCGTTGGAAACTGATTCTAGATTCTGGACCATTGACCGAGCGTTTGCTTACAACAGTCAAATGTCACGACCCACGCGCTCATTTATGTTTCGTGGCGAGCTTATGTCAGACACGAGTCACTCATACGTGTATTATTCATTTTATCTGAAACTGATATTTCCACTGATCTGTGCGTAGAATATTTTTTGCATTTTTGAGCGAGGCGTAGTGCTGTTTAAAGAGGCAAAACTATATATATATCGTGTATATACATATATTTTAACCGTGCATCATAAAATTTTTGTGTATATATAGCACTCGACCGGAAGTATCTTCCATAAAATAATCTTTGGTGTGCAGATCATGTCCTTACGTGCAACGATTTTATGGTGAAATATTTTATGATAATTTATGATCACATAGTTGTGGGTATTTTATAAGTGAAATTTGCGATAGTGATATAATACTCCATTTTATGCTCAACTCTCGTAACGTACCGGCAAATGCTGGAGTACACCAGAGTTCCATTTAAGACGAATGTGGTGCATTATACATAATCGATGTACGCATTTTTATAAGAATTACAATTTTGACAAATTTTAAATAGTAATTTCTGTTTTAATAAACCTACAGTGTATTTTAAAAGCACGTTTTATTGAACTGCAAAAGCTAAAGGAATACGTGACTTTTATCTTCGTCGATCGTTACCATCGTTCGATCACGATGCTGCCATTCTTCGCATTATGCACGTGTCTCTATCTGGTCAACATTGCTGATACTTCAACGTTGACTGCACCCCCGCAATCGGCACTTGTTGTCGCCTTTGAAGATATCTACGATTTATCTCTGTTAGCCAATACTTTATCGGATCAAGGGATCGATGCTACATTGATCATACCGGCATCGCACGAGAATGAACTTTACGAGACGCTAATCGACGTCGAGGTGTTGCGATTGAATATCGAAGCTGACGAATCCATCACTTCGGACAAAAGAGCAGTTCGAGCTTGCGAGGCTCTGTTAAAGGATGAAGGAATCGCAGGGAAAATAAAGGAAATTCAACCCACTTTTACCATATTTCCCGCACTCAGGTACGGTACTAGAAATTTCTGGAGATTTAGGGATTCTCGGAATTACTTATTAATTTTTACTGACGAATTTTTTTAATTTTCAGACACGATGGTTGTTTATTACCTTGGACAAAAAACATCGAATCTATTCCAGTCATATGGACACGGAATCGAGAGGAGGAACAATACGTGTTCGAATACACTGGTGCTGCTTGGCCGGTATACAGTGCAGGTTTTTGGTCACGATTATGGATGAGTTTTTCGAGGAGGTCAATATTCTCGACGACCCGAGACGAGTACGTGGCGTATGCCTTACGGATAGCGGGGAAATACTTGCCAGACACCGGTCTCAATTTAGACAATCTTTATACCGACGTTCGCCTTATACTTTGGGGATCTGATGTTGTCTTACGTTCGGATTTCGTTCCTCTAACGCAACTCATAGTCGAAGTGAGTGAAACAGAAAATGTTTAGACTAGAGTATTTTTGAATGTTCTTAGACTCTGCTAAGGTTTCCTTAAACTCTTCTTGAATATAAAACGTACGCAGTGAAGTTATTATACTTTATTTTAGTATATTTAGCGTATTTATAATATGATGGTTATAAAAAATAATTGTTATACAGGTTGGTTGCCACCACTGTAGAGGAGCACATCCATTACAAGGAGATCTTCACAAAATACTGCTCGAGTATCGCCTGGGAACTATTGTAGCGTTTCTGGATGAGAGCTATACCACGCTAATCAAAGAATTAGCAGAAAAATTGCCGCAGGGTAGGGAGGGCCAAGCGGTAGTTTGGAAGAACATGAACTGGCAAAGCTCAGGCAGCGCTATGCCGGATAATCTCTTCATCCGGTCAGCGATTGATCGGCAAGACCTAATAGGTACATTGAAACCTTATAATTTCTGCATAGAATCCTAATAGGTTCTTGATTAAAGCTTTCGATAATTAGTGTAGGGCTTTGATCTGTTGGCAAATTTTATATTTCTTTTTCGCTTCCTCGGTTTTTTTTCTTCAACGATATTGTTCGTTGCAGGTTACAGTCGAACACGAGTAATGCTAAGTCACTGCACCGATTCGGAACTTTTGGAAGCTGCCTTCCACGGGACTCCGGTGATATGCTTTCCTAGAAACCCTCTAGAATCCCAGAACGCGGCGAGAGCGGTTCAGTTAGGTTTCGCTCGATCGGCGGAAGACATTCGTGCCTTGAACAGCGAGGAAATAGCCAACGCCGTGATCCACATCCACGAGACGATGGATTATCGCGAGAACGGTCGTAAGGTCTCGGTGGCGATCCGCGACAGATTAAATCCTGCGGTGGATAGACTTATCTATTGGCTGCGTTATATGGCAAGAACCAGAGATTGGGATATCGATTTCCTGGCTGCTGACAGTTCAGCGAGAACGTTTAACGAGGATCTTCAGTTCTTCATTGGTTTATTTGTTGGCAGTATATTAGGGATTTTCGTGACCGTTGGTTGCATGTTGGCCAGGTATCTGATCATGTCGAAGAGGAGACAAAGGTCGAAAGGAAGGTACACGCGATAGAAATGAACAAAGAAGATGCGGAATCGATGGGATGGTTAATGACGGACATTTTTCGCATATGTATTTATATAAATGCACGTAGAGTACAGGTACATACAAATACAAATGTTACGAGCTAGGGTTTATCTCATTGCTAATGAAGAGACGTATCTATTACGAGAATACTTGATCAATAAGATTGATTGATTGATTGAGTCGTTGATTGATCGATTGATTGATTGTTTGATCGATTGGAAAAGCTAGAAAGTACGATGTAACGTGTTATCATAATCGTAAGAAGGGGAAAAATAAATTACAATTTGTAATACTGCGCTCTGTATGTCGTCTCGTTGCACGAGTGCTCGCTCGTGTGCGTATATCGCCTAGATCCTTACAATGTACGGACGAATCGGTACCTAGTTTAATTCGACTCACTTTTAAGGCCATGTTCTTCTAATCAGATCAGCCGCCTTCGTGCACGCTGTCCCAGCGAAATTTTATTCGCCTGGTGTACATCTGCGCGTTTCATCTAACCCAAACGTCTAAAATACACATTTCGTTGTACAACTTAGACAAGATACTGTGCACGTGTAACTCGTTTATCGTCATCGACTCGTGTTGGTTCTTAGCAAAAATGATTGGAAGAGCGCCGTTAACACATTGATCGCTACACCGAAACTGTTAATTTCGTTAGTCTACATGCTGAATTTTAATCAATTTTATTCACTGTGTTTGTAATATTTTGCTGTTATGCATGATTCCAGGTATCTACTATGAATTTCTAATTAGGTGAATCGAAGTGTACGGGTTATGAATTCGCATGTGGATGTGACAATCAACGTGTTAAAAGGCAAAAAGTAGCAGTGTAAAAAAGTCCATTTAAACGCGTAAAAATGAAGCGATCCTATGAGACATTCGTTGCTTTGAGCGCGTACTCGCGACACGAACAATTCGGACTTCGTAATTGACTAGACTGTGGCTTCGATCAGCTTGGTTCAAATGCGACGAAACGTCGAACTTCCACTTCGTGTGATAAAATTAATAGACAAAGGTTCATTTTCTTCTATGTTCGTTCGAACCGCGAAGGATGATTCGGTGTCTCTCGATTATGAATGAAAAACGATGAAGACGGAGGGCTGCGTAAAACACAGGAGCGATCACTTTCCGAACAGCTCCAGCTTTCGTCTTTGTTCTCGACGCAGCATTTCGGTAAACGTAATTAACATCGATCGATCGTGTACATTCGGGTGCAACGTACGTGTCCTGAAGGTTTAGGAAGAACCTAAAGAAACTGCAAACCCTACTGTCTGTCAACTGGTGGGACCTCTCTCTTTACTTTCAGGAAGCCTACGTTGCACCCGAGTGTACGTGTATATACTTATCTATATACAGCGCGACAGTCGTGGACGTAAAATCTACAAAACAGTAAGAAGACAGTATGTACAGTCATTGGCAGAATTGTTCCCGAACCGAGTGATCCGAGGCGGACTGTCCAGAGCGGAGACGGATACGCTTGGTATCGCTCAGCGACGACCTCCTTTTCCTCGTTTCTCTCTCCTCTCTTCTATTGTCGCGTCGAGAATCAGACCTCTCGCTTTCGTAGTCCGCCTCGTTCCTCGTAACTCGCATTGTTCGCCGGTACACGGCTGACACAGCGAGTCTTATACAGTGATTCGCGAAAGTATCCGGACGCTTGTTGGATAAAAACTCGAGGAAAACGCACGAATTTTATTAAAGTAAAGCGGTTTTCAAAACTCCCTGGAGTGATTCTTTAGAGAGGAGTTTCGTGAATCTTCCACTATTTATACGGTGCTGTCTTGTTCAGAACATGATCGCGACCGTAGTCACAAGATTCTGAAAATACACTCGTCCTCGAGGGATCAGCTCCATCATGAGAGATTTTAGGACTGTCTGAAGATAATTTCATTCAGATGATATAGCGCCCTCTGTGTTATTGCGAAGATAGAGGTTACTCGTAATAGGGAAAAGATTTTGAGCAGCTATTTTTTAGCAGACTGTATCTTCCAGGTTATATTGGTAGAGTAAATGGTACAGCAGCTAGCGCTAGTACATTGACACGGTGAGTTTAGATAAATGGTAGCGAGTGGAGTAGGATTTCAATGTGGAATTACCACTCTCCTTTTGCTACTTCAACGTACTAGCCCTAGCTGCTATATTACTTCCACTATCGATGTAACCTAACGCTAATATCGAAGGTTCTAATATAGTATTCACTGATTGTGGCAACATAAAACTATGAAATACTCGCGTTCGAATGCTTTCGCACTACATCGTCAGCTGGTCCGTGTTTCAGATGAAGACAAGGTGGTTCTACGCGCTAGAGAGCATTGGTATACAATGAGATACCTACACATCGTGGAGGATCTGTTTTACTTCGAATATAAATAAGAGTCTCGCGTCCATACGCAACTACGCGAGCACGAACAGGAAATAATAGAAAAGAAGAAAGAACGAATGGTCGTCGAGTGGCCTATTAACTCGCCTAACGTTAGTACTCTAGTTATCGTTCGCTCGTGTTCAATCGCTCGCTTAACCGGACACTCGTTCATACGGAAACACACGCGCGCCTCGTCGCTATCGTTCCTTTTCTCGTCAGCGGGAACCGTAAATTATTAACATATTGAGTTTCAGCCGCAATAAGAGCTTCAGGGAGGGCAACCCCATTAAAAATTCATGCGAGATTTATCCTCGTCGGACGAAAGGTCCCGACGAAGAACATCTGATTTTATCCTCCTGTGTCTTATTACTGTCTCTTCAACTCTATCACGCTCCTCATCGAGTCCAACTCCCGTCACGATTCTGGTCATCACCGTCGAGCCTCAACATGTTAACATTTACATAAATAATGGTGCACCTGAGAGTCAGATTAGCATAATCCACGTGCAATTTCGCTAGACGTCTATTCGCTATACCATGACCAATGGATACACGATTTTTCTCGGGAATAGTATAGTTAGCTGTCTTCCTAAGGGTGATCTAAATTTTTAGAACCATCAAAAAGGGTTCTCGGTTTCTGATAAGATCCCTCGTTGTTAAAAACAAGCTGAGTTGATCAAAGAACACCCTGCAGAGTTCAGCAATACTTTCCTCTAGACGTATTCTTGCCGAAAGAATGGACTTACGCTCTGACTGTCGGGTACAGAACGCTCTAACGTAACCTGTCACGCTTTGTAGCCTCTCGCGGCTTTAACGGCTCGCGGACCGATTCCTCGGATAAAACTTAAACAAAAAGAATGGCGTGGTAGAAGCACACGGTCCACCCTGATCGATTCGAAGGAGGGGCCATATGTGTCGAAGAGGATCCTCGTCATCGGAGATAATGCCTCGACGAAGCGGAGTCGTGAAGCACCTTTCGGTAGGCCGACCGGAATGCCATTCCACCGTTTAATTGCACACGTGCTCTTCTCGTTTGTGCCGACAGAGCTCGCACTTCACGTTACAACACCAGACAAAACGGCAATTACAATTCTCCGTCACGTCCCGTACTCTCGTTTGGTAACCACGGCCGCAGCATAGCAGTCGACATCCGTCTAGGCCTAGGGACGTTCGGTTGCATATCCTTCCTCTGGTGCCGGGTATACCGAGCCTGAAATGCGAAAACCTGAGTTAACTTTTGGACCCTGGGCTGTGGACAAATTGTGGACTTTGTGGACTTTGTGGACAGGTTAAGGATAGAAGATTACGCAACATCGATGTAAGTCTAGGAGATCCTAAGAAGGTATGATCAGATGCTGCAAATTTTCAAGTTGCGAATATAAAATGAAAAAGTTGCTCACGCGATGTCCTTTTCACAGTAGTCAGGACTATCTTCGAGATAAACTAGGTCCGTTTTATTTGGTCGCTTAAGGTCCGGGCGGGCAGGCCTCAGTCTTGCTGGTCTCCTTCCACCGCGTTGCGCCAGTCGTACCAGAGCTGCTCCTTCGTGCAAAGCGGCCAGAGCGGCACCAGCCACCCTGAACGCAGGTAATCTTCTCCAACACACACGCACGCTACACGAACCGGACAAACCTGTGGCACACGGCATCATTCCACTTCAACTTATTCAAATTGTTCCGCGTATTAAGGTAACAATGGTTCATTAGTCTAATTCTGCATTAATCATCGAATAACATGTTTAAAATCATGTACCAAGAATTTTAACCATCAAATGCTACTATTATAGAATTGTAACAAACATTTTAACAAGTATCTTTTATCTGTATCGTTAGAAGGTGAAAAATAATGAAGTCCAAGAAGGAGCTTCCCACGAAATCAACCGGTCAAGCATGGAAGGGATTGAAATCGTGGGTCGTCGAAGCGCGAGGAATGAAAAATAAGAGCATAGATACAAGGCTTATCTGTAGGATGCGTTAATGGCTCACCGTGACACTTGCACACGCGTTGCATTCTAGAGCGGACAGCGCGCCTGCCAGCTTCGCTATCGTGCTTCCTCATCAGCTGGCCAGCCAGCCCTTTCGGTCCTTGGAGAACACCCTCCTTCACCGGCTCCTCTCCGCTGTCGGACCATTCTCGCGAAAACTTCTCTCCGTAGTGTATATCCTGCGGGCGTGCAAATTTTATCCTTTATTTTCTCCCGTACATCGGTAATCTCTTTCATTATTCATGAACTTCGTATTGTGACGGTACAAGTATGGGCTGTAGATATTTGATGCATGGCGATACAACGCGGGAGGAATCTAATGTATAGAGATCTAACGCGTGACGATGTAGACATATCAAGTGTGGTCGCACAACGTGGGAGATCCTAACGCGTGGTGCTATAATGCGAAAAAATCTAATGCGCGATGATGTAATACATAGAGAATCCATGTACAAGAAATCTTTAACGCGTAGACAATCAGCGTGTGGTGATATAATGCGTAGAGATTCGAAACATGTAGAAATTGTGGAGAATATGTGTGGAGAATCTGACGTATAGAACTGACGCAGTGCTACAACCTGTCGAGATACACAGAAATCCAACATGTGTCGATACAATGCCTAGCTCGTAGAAATCTAATACGCGTATTGTTCATTGAACACATAGTAACACAGTACAGTATAAAGTTACATATTTTCGCAAAGTGTTTTAATTAGAAAGAAGAACGTTATAAACGGAGTAAATTTAAATTGAACGTAACCAAATTGAATTTCGCCGACGACGAAACCGTGCTTGTCCCGCGAGTTAATGGAATTCCGTTCCGCCGACAAACGACGATTATTTTCACCCTTTCGGGGGCGAACAGAAACACCGGAGGTACACGTAACAGTATCCTTTCTTTGCGTTCCGCGTGCACGGGGCTCGGGGGACCAACCCCTCGACACAGAGAATAGCTACGAGCGGCTTTTTCTCGGAAACTGTTCCTGCTCGACTCTACGAGCTTCACCTCGTCTGCTACTTTTCAACCACCAGCTTCGATTTTTATTTCTTTCGACGTTCAGACGTTCACTGCTCTATGAGCCGTATCGTCAAGTGTTCTCTTTTTCACCCGTTAACGCGTTCAGAAAGTATGCAGACCTTTTCGTAAATTACAAAGCGCTTTTTGTAATAGCTCCCGATACATGTACGGATTATATGTGGACACGAGAATGAATTTTGTAAATTAGAAACTATCAATCTGGAGCGATTTATCGAGAAACTTTCGAATTAATTTGATAAAAAATGTTAAAAATAAATAAAAGAAGTTTGTAAAAAATGCGTTTCTTTTATAATTTCCGACGAGTGCTCCCTCGAAGAAACAGGTAGAGAAGCACTGGCATCCCCAATTAGTCGTCTCGATCTCTCTACGGTCGGTCGACGTAAACCTTAACCCTGGACGAAGACAAAGCTCGTCCTGTAAACGGATGCATTTCATGCGTACGGCTGACCCCTTGTAGACATTGCTAGCTTACAAGGGGATTAAGGGGGCTAAGCTTGTTAAGTTGCAACAACCCGCCACCTCCTGTCCCCGCCTAGTCGGACATATCGGCCACGTAACTCGCACGTGAGCGATGCACACGAACGTAAATACGCGTGCAAAAGATCCGTCAAGAGAAAGAAGAAGGATGGCAATTGAAGAAACGGTGAAAGAGGAGAAAATTAAACTAAAACGGAGCAAGTAGGAAAGAGAGAAGAATCGAGGATGGAAGCAGGTGGACCGGAAGGTGTTAAAGAAGAAACAAATGAACGACGTAATGATGGGAAAGAGAAAGTGGAACGGAGGTGTTATAGAAAAACTAGCACGATGGAACGGGAGAAAAAAATGGACGAAGGTAATGAAGTATAGGCAATCATTAAAATTCTTGAAAGAATTTATAAAGTAAAGAAAACAAAACGATGGCTTTCATAAAAATTCAGTCGGTGGTTTAACCTTACAGTCGCTACAATTAATCTTGTAACTAAGCCACCAAATAATGCGAAAGAATTAAACGAAGGAGAGCAAACAAACAATTACAAAGTAAAAGCAATTAAAGAACAATAACGACACACGACTAAAATCTGCAAACGAGAAGCGAGAGAATCAATTACCCGGTGGACAAAGATAAAAGCAAAACAGAGTAGGAAAAGCGCACAAAAGAGGAAAATCAAAGACAAGGGAAAAAATGTGACGCTAAAAGGGTTAAACGGGAAGAGAGAAGAACGTGAGAAAAAACAACACGCACGGAAAAGAATGGTCGTCGAGTAGCGTGAAAAAGGAACGAAACGACTGAACGTGGAAAAAAGGGACACGTGCTCGAGAGAAAGTCACGTGACAGGAAGAAGAAAGCGTCAGGAAAAGTGGCGTGCTTTACCGCCGGGATTACGGTGTTGGCCACAGAAGTGGCCCCTGACACTGGCGAGTCTTCAACCTCGAAACTCCACGGATCTCCTTAACGAGGAGGATCCCGTGGGACAAACGTCTCTCGGTTAGACTCGTTGACAGATTTTCGGAGATAATGATGTTTGCACACTCTGCCGGCTTTAACGAACCCGTACCTTTCGTCGATAAGTCTGAGGTGTTATTCGTTCGGAGATGAATTTTTCGGATTACGAATTGCGAGGAGGATTTAGAATCGTTTGCTGCTTTTGTAGAAACCTTGTAGGTTAAGACACTGTAAGTGGCGTTACATCGCCACATGTTCTTGCTAAACGTTGCTCTTCACGAACAGCATACAAAAAACTTACCGATACTATATTGACAAAAAGATTGCCCTAATAGGGTCTGCCCTAATAGTGGCAATTTACAGTAAAATTTAAAGAAAAGAAAAAGAATGTATCATGATTAATCAGAGATGCAAATGAGTTTATAGTAGAAAACACTTGTCGCAGTCGAACGAGGTAAAAGTATAATAGAATGATATCGGTCTCCAGACGCGTTATTGTTTGAAAGAAGGAGGGAATAGAAAATAGAGGGGAAATTACCTCGCTGCATCCACCCCATTGCCAATTATTCGGGCGGCGTGTTCTGACCCGGTTGTCGCACGAGCAATCGGTGAGTTCGCCCCTGGAACAGGCTCTCGTGACGCTGTAAGCAACCCCTGCCGCTGATATTGCATACACGAACGCTGCCTCGCGACTGTCTGCAAAGATGCAACGAAATTTTCCTCGGTACGCTAAACTTTTTCCATTTCTGCGAGATGCTGTTGCTACCGGTGCTGCCGGTACTCGTGTATCTCGACGACGATGTCGTCCTGATTACACGGGACAGCAGATGCTGCGCGGGATTTAATTAAAATTATTTTGCAGTCAGAATGAGAGCTCTTCACATTACTCTAGCGGTACAATTTATTTTGCTAAGATTGGACGCGTCCGGGAGTAACAAATTAATATGTCAGCTTTGTGAAATAATTAAACGAAAGAGTAAATATATTAAATAGAGCATGTAGAAATAGTTAAAAGCCTCGATATTAAAAAGAGGTAGATTTTACGATTAATGATTTCTTTTTTGAGAAATTTATCGATGACTCACCGTCATCATAATTTATCACGGTTCATCGAACTCACAATTACACGTCCATGATACGTGTAATCATATTCTTTCTCTCATCGTAACTGCGTTATCATGCATCGATTGAAAAAACTGAAAGCCCCAGATCGATAGTTTCTTGCGGAGCTTTCAAGCCATCAAGAACATCCCGTCTGGGAGTCCATAAGACTCGCTGTCTTCTACTTACTGACTAGCATCACGCCACCGAAAACGTTGTCCGGATTTTCCGGGTTGATGGAGCAATTCCATCTGGCCGATCTAAACTGGTGCTGACACTCCTCTATGGCCAATCTCGCGCCTGCACTGACTGCCTGAAAGCAAAAACCATGAAAGCCGCGGATCGAAAGGAAAATCTTATGGCAGCCTTTTTACGGCCAATCGGTTTTTATCGAATCGACAGAATCGATGAAGAAACATTGCACACTTTCATTTTGTTGTCACGCGTAAAGTTGTAACAGATGTACGTTATTGGAATCATAGAATGCATTGACATAGTTCGATTTGGAAATTGGGTAATATAGAAGTACAAATTAAAAAGTTGAGAGACAAGAAATGGCATGATGGAGGAAATTAAAATTTTATATAAAATTGTTATTATACGAAGAAGCTATACAGGGTGTCTCATAATTACTGTAAGAGTCGAAAAGGGAAACAACTTTTTCCTTTGCCAAAATATTAGTTGAGGCTCCG